GCCCCATCTCAGTGCTCCCAGTGCTCTCCCATTGCCTCCCAGTGCCCTCCCAGTGCCACCCAGTGCCCTCCCATTGCCTCCCAGTACTCTCCTATTACCTCTCAGTGCCTCCTATTGCCTCCCTGTACTCTCCCAGTACCCCCCAGTGCCTCCCAGTGCTGTCTCATTGCCTCTCATGGCCTCCCAGCACCTCCCAGTGCCTCCCATTGTCTCCCATTAGCTCCCAGTGCCCTCCCATTGCCTCCAGTGCCCTCCCATTGTCTCCCATTGCCTCCCAGCACCTCCCAGTGCCTCCCATTTTCTCCCTTTAGCTTCCAGTGCCCTCCCATCGCTCACCCTCCACTCGGTACTTCTCCATCTCCTGCACCTCAGCCACGGACTCCCGCAGGTCGCTGGCGAAGCGCAGTCTGTCCTGAGGGCTGGGCGCGTTGAAGATGATCAGCACCTTCCGCTCCCCCCCCGGAGCCGCTGACAGCAGCTTGATCCCAAACTGGTAATCTGGGGGTGGGGGGGGGGGGGGTTAACGGGCGCGGGGTCAGAGGGTGTGGGGGAATTTGGGGGGGGAGAACAAGGGATGTTCCATTGGGGATGCAGAGGGTTGAGAAGGAATGCCATTGGGGACATTATAGGACGTCTTGTTTGGGACACTATGAGGCACCATGGGGTGTCCCACTGGGGACAGCATGGGGCACCAAGGGATGTCCCTTTGGGGACATCAAGGGACATTCCATTTGGGACAGCGTGGGACATCACATTCGGGATGATATGGGGCACCAAAGGACATCCCATCGGGGGACATCATGGGACATCCCACTGGGTCTCCAAATGTCATCCCATTGGAGAACATGGGACATCCCACTGGGGACAACAATGGGCCCCACACTGGGGACACTATGAGACCTCCCGCTGGGGACAACAAGGGCCATGGGAGTATGGGACTCCCTATAGAAAACCCCACAGAACTACAGGACACCCCACAGAGAACCCCACGGGACAGAGTGGCACCCAGCGTTGGACCCCTCTGGGATGTAGGGATGGGAGAAACGTCCCTCTGGGAATCCCATGTGACACGGGAAAATCTCATGGGGGTCTCGGGGGGCTCACAGGCATTCTGGAAGAGCTGCATGTGCATCTCGACAAGGGGGAAGCTCTGACGGAAGCTGTAGGTCACTAGGATCTTCTTCTTCTGGAAGATCTTCGTCACCTGCCAGGGGACGTCACAATGTCACCAGGTTTGGGGTCACCTGATGGGTGGTCCCCACCTTGGGGATGTCCTCAATGTCCGGCTCTCACCACCAGGAGGTCGTTGAAGAGGAAGACCTCGCGTTGGTGCAGCCCCAAACGCTGGGGGCGGTTGGGGTCGGGGACTTCGTAGAGTTGGCAGCAGCACACCAGGCGGCGGTGGGGCAGGGACAGCACCTAGAATGGTTCCCCCCATAAGGTCACCTAGAACATTCCTCATTGGTCGTGTAGAACATTCCCCTGTAGAGTCACCTGGAACATCCCCCATAGGGTCGTCTAGAACACCCCCCAGTAGAGTCACCTAGAACATCCTCCATAGGATCATCTTGAACATCCTCAATGTGTCACCTAGAACGTCACCCATAGGTCCATTTTGAACACCCCCCAGGAGGTCACCTAGAATATTCCCTATTGGGATACATAGAACGTGATCCATATAGGGTCACCGAAAGCATCCCTCTTAGGGTCATCTAGAACATTCTCCATTGGTTGTGTAGAACATTCCCCGTAGAGTCATTTAGAACATCCCCCATAGGGTCACCTAGAACATTCTCCACTGAGTCACCTGGAACACAACCCGTAGGGGCACAAAAAACACCCCCCATAGGGTCCCATTCTACATTCTAATAGGGTCACCTAGACCATCCCCCACTGATCACCCACAGTACACCTATGGGGTGATGACCCTAAAGGTCCCTCCAATAACCTCAAACACCCCCGGATGCCCCCTGGGTGACCCCAAATCCCTTCCAAGGACTGCAAAGCCCCCCATCACCAACGTGACTCCAAATGCCCCCCAAGGACCCCATCCCCTCTCCCCCGGGGCCACCCACCGGCTTCTTGCCAACGATCATCCTCTCGACAGCCTGAACCTGGGAGACGTGGTCGTCGTTGGTGCGCAGCTCCCGGCTCTGGATTCGCTGGTAGATGCCCACCAGCATCTCCCGTGGGATGTCCTCCCCATTGTCCACCCCTGCACGACACCCGGTGCCTTGCTCTAGAACCCGTAGGGTTCCGGATGCCGCAAGGAAAGAGGGAGAGGAGACCAACCCACCCCCCTCACATCAATCCCCCACCCCACCTCGGAGGTTCTTGATGAAGTCCTCCAGCTTCATCTTGCGCTCCGCCTTCACGCTGGGGCTGTACATGTCGGTGTTGAGGAGGATGATGGCGAAGGCCAGGATGAAGATGGTGTCCGGGTTGCGGAACTGGCGCAGCAGGGCCGCGTTACACACGCAGTAGCGCTGGCTGCGGGGCAGACAATCCCCACGGCCTATGGGGTCAGAGTGCCCCACGGACAGCCCCACGCGACTGGGGTAGGGGCACCCCACAATGGTGCCAGCGTGGAGACACGCTGAGGAGGGTGCCCCTTCCTCCCAGTCTATAGGGTCACCTAGAATGTCTCTGTATTGTGTAGGGAATGTCAACACCAATGTCTTCTCCTCTGGGCCTATAGGGTCACTAGAATATCTCCTTACTGCATACAGAACTTTAACCCTAATGTCGTCCCCCTTGGGCCTATAGGGTTACCTAAAATGTCTCTTTATCACATATGGAACGTTAACCCTAACATTTTTGTCACTGTGAACTTATTGGGTCACCTAGAACATTCCCCTCTCAATCTGTAGGGTCACTTAGAACACCTCTTTATTTCATACAGAACATTAATCCTAATGTCTTCCCTCTTCTGGACTTATTGGGTCACCTAGAACATCCCCCTCTCGATCTGTAGGGTCACCTAGAACGTCACTTGTGCGTTACCACCGCCAGTATCTGCCCCTTAATTCACAGAGTCCCCTAGAACACCCCCCCTTGACCCAGAGGCTCACCTAGAACATCACCCCAAACAACATAGGTCACCACCCCTAATATCTCCCACCCAACCCATAGGGTCACGCAGATACCCCCCCCATCCCCCCACCATGACCGCCCCCCATTCCCATTCCCCCTCACCTGAAGGCCTCGATCAGGCGCTCGACTTTCTGGGCCTCCCCCTGCACCCGGATGTGGGACTGGAACTTACGCAGAGCCTCGTCCAGCTCCATCCCGGAGAAATCCATCTCGTCCACCACGCAGCTACGGGACAACCCCTGCTGCATGGAGACAGCCCCGATCCCAAGGAAACACCCCCCCACACACACACAATGGTGCCACATCCCCACAAATCCCTTCGGGTTCAGCCCCCCCTCGATGCCCCCTTACTCGAGGACATCGCGGTTGAACTGCTTCTGGCGATTGCCGAGGAACTCGCCAATCATCTGCCGGCTCAGCCCTTTCCTCTCCAGGATGAAATGGGCCACCCCCACCGGGGTGTCGGACAGGAAGCCCCTCTCGATCAGGTACTGGATCCCCTTTTCAGGTTTCCTGAGAATGGGGAGGGGGTCTGGGGGTCATCCCGACTTATGGGAGAACCCCACAGTCACCCCACAAATGTCTTGGGGACATTTGGTGGCACTGCATCCTCTGGAACATCAGCTCCTGGCTGTAAGATCACCTAGAACATCACCTACTGGTTATAGGGTCACCTGCACTGTCACCTTGTAGGGTGACCCAGAACATTTCCCAGCTGTGGTTATGGAGTCACCAAAAGCTATGGAGTCACTTTGTTCTGGCTGTAGGGTGGCCTAGAACAGCAACCTCCCTTCCCCACAGGGTCGCCTCGAACATCCCCACGTCCTCGTGATAGGATCACCTAGAACATCTTGCTATTGCTATATAGATCTCCTTCTCCTTGCTATAGAATCACCTAGAACAACATCACGTCCTCCCTGTAGGCTCACCTAGAACATCTCTGTGTCCAGACTATAGGGTCACCTAGCATGTGATCATATTTTTACCGTAGGATCGTTTATAGTATCACCATCTTTTTACTATAGGGACATCTAGAACATCACTATATCTTTGCTGTAGGATCACCTAGAATGTCACCATGCCCTTGCTTTTGGATCACCTAGAACATCCCCATGTCTAGACCACAGGGTTACCTAGAACACCTCAACGTCCATTCTATAGGAGCACCTAGAACACGACCACATCTTTACTCTGGGCTCACCTAGAACACTGGGTCTTTGCCATAGGATCACCTAGAATGCCACCATATCTCCCACTACTACCACAAAGCCACCAAACCCACCGCCCCCTCCCCACCAGGACAACCCCGAGATGCCCCACATAGCCTCCCCCCAGACCCTCCCCGACCCCCCACCCCCCCGCTCACTTATTGAAGAGGTTGAGGCCGATGCGGTACTGCCTGCGCTGCACCACGTCGTTGTTGAGCGCCGGTGAGTCCCAGCTCTGCCGTGGCTCCCGTTGGTACGTGGCTTTTCCAGGGGGGCCAGAGGCACTGGGAGGTTGTGGGGGGGCGGCGGGAGGAGGTGGGGGGGGGGTGGGGGGGGGTCTCCTCAGGCTGTCGTGGGACGAGGAGCCCGAAGAACAATTGAGGGTCTCGTTGGAGTTGGAGCTGCTCCCCAAACTCTCGTTGTCCCCTTCCGAACCCTCCTCGGGGGCGGTGGGGGGGGGAGGTGGCGGGGGGGGAGGTGGGGGTGGGGGCGGGGGTCCGCTGCGGGGCAAAGTGCCCCCCCCGGCACCATTGGATTCATAGGGACCCCCCCCAACCCGATTGACGGAACCGCGGTCAGAGCGGTCGCTGAGGTCGGCCGAGCTGTCGCTGGGGGGCTCGACAGTCAGCAAAGGGGGGTGACCCCCCCGACCCCGGCATTCCAAACAGGGGGGGACACGCCGCGGCGGGACCTCTTCTTGGGGTGTCCCCCCCCCCCCCGACCCCCCGGGGGGGGGCGGGCGCCGGGGGGGGTGGGGGGGGGGGGGGGGGGGGGGGGGGGCCCCCCCCGCTGGGGGGGGGGGGTTCGGGGCTGGGGGGGCGTTCGGGGGACCGGGGGGAGCCAGGGAGCCCCTCATCCAGGTAAAGGGTGACGTCGCTGGCGGAGGTGGCAGCGCTGTCAGCGGCCGTGGGGGGAGTGGAGCTCTGTGGGGGCCCCCCCCGGCCCCCCCCCTAGGGCTTCGTCGATGGAGGCGGCCAAGGACTTCACCTGAGGAAGGGAGAACCCCCCCCCAGTCCCGTTAGCCATGTGAACCCCCTTGGTGACCCCCGACATCCCCCCCCC